AGCTGTGGTCCAGTCATACCCAGTTGCTAGGAATTTCCAGTACAATGCAATCCTAGGCTATTCCAGCCATTCCTTAGATCATGGAAATACCAGGAACGTCTGGAATATCCAAGTTCTTTGAAATGCCAAGGTATTACTAGAAAAAATGTTCCAACAAAATGTTAATTTTTTTAGTAGAGATTTAGAATGAAATTTTCAAATACATTGTTTGAACATTTTTGTTCGATCGATCGAACAAAATGTTTGTTTTAAATTTCATTTGATTTAACAAGTTTTGGTAATGAAAAGAAATTTTGTTCGGTCGATCGAACAAAATATTTTGGGGTTTTTTTTGGTACAGTTTGAGAGAGAAATTTTTCAATGCAGTGTTTGAACAGTTTTGTTCGATCGATCGAACAAAATATTTATTTTAAATTTTTCATTTATTTGACCAGTTTTGGAAATGAAAAGAAATTTTGTTCGATCGATCGAACAAAATATATATTTGTTCGATCGATCGAACAAAATGTTAATTTTTTTAGTAGAGATTTGGAATGAAATTTTCAAATACAGTGTTTGAACATTTTTGTTCGATCGATCGAACAAAATGTTTGTTTTAAATTTCATTTGATTTAACAAGTTTTGGTAATGAAAAGAAATTTTGTTCGATCGATCGAACAAAATCTTTTGTGTTTTTAGTACAGTTTGAGAGAGAAAATTTCAATAAACTGTTTGAACAGTTTTGTTCGATCGATCGAACAAAATATTTATTTTAAATTTTTATTTATTTGACCAGTTTTGGAAATCAAAAAAATTTTGTTCGATCGATCGAACAAAATATATATTTGTTCGATCGATCAAACAAAAAGCTAATTTTTTTAGTACAGATTAAGAGAGAAATTTTCAAATACAGTGTTTGAACATTTTTGTTCGATCGATCGAACAAAATGTTTGTTTTAAATTTCATTTGATTCAACAAGTTTTGGTAATGAAAAGAAATTTTGTTCGATCGATCGAACAAATAAAGTTATAAGAAGGTTGCCCTTTTTGTTCGATCGATCGAACAAAATATATATATTTGTTTGTTATATGTATTTATTCAATGTTTTAAGTCAAATTTTTAATAAAATTGAATGAAAAAAGAGTCACTTGTTCTTTTTTGTATTGGTATTTGTGAAAAATAACTCCAATATTTACACCCAAAAACCCTATTTTAAGGCTAAAAAGAGGGACTGATTGGACAATCCCTTTTTATTTTGGAACGAGATTTATTTAGAAAAAAAAACTCGAAAAGAAAGGTTTGTTGAAATAAACCAGACAAATATAATGACAAGCCATTGCTAGGCTAATCTCAAATGGAATCTGATATATTAAAACGAGATTATTTCTATAGAAATTCAGTGAAAAAATATATAGGGAAGCAAAGGGAGTAATCTATTTATATGTATATAAGCAGGTGTTCGTTAATTTTAACATGAAAACGTAGTTTCAAATACAGACACAAGCAACATTTAATATATATCTAATAAAATGTAATGCTGTCTTGATATGCAGGCTTCATAGCCTCTGATACCCTTTCAAAATTTCATCTTATCTAGTTCCGCCCATTGTTTTCTCGTTAAGGGCACATTCATTTTTTTTTACTTCGGGACCATGTGCCGCTTTTCGTGGAATGGCACTAACATTTCACATTGACGGTCCCATGGTACATCTAGCCGCAATATGAAGAGATCTGCGGATGTTTTCAAAATTTAAAATTTTACCAGTTCATGTTAAATGTTGGGCCGGTGCTGGGGGAGCGTGGACGGTGGCTTGCGCTTGCCAGTACCGTCCATTAACAGGCTCAATCAAACCGAGCCTGCAACTTTTTCAATTTTGGGCTTTCTTTAGGGATTTTATATTTCTCTCTTTTTTAACATTTGCTTTCGGAAGTGTGATAAACTATACGATTTACCATGCATCGATATTTGTCAATATCAGGTTTAACTTATTTTATAATGTTTTCTGTCGTATTGACACAATATAGTTAAAAAGCCAATTTCCAAATTCGTCGGAGGTAGACCTCAGGTGTTCCTCCTTGAATTACTATTAGTGAAGGCACACCTGACTAAGAACAACGAAAAACTAACACAATTCTTTACATAAAACGTTATTTCGAAACATACGAGTGAATGTAAGTATCAAAGTTATCCCGGTATTGAATTTACCTAATCCGTTGTAGTTTAGACACAATTTCTTGATCATTTTGAAATGCCCTTATTTAAGTCATTCATAGCTTGATTGTTCATCTTTAACGAGTATTTAAATACATATGTGTAGTTTTTAGTGTTATATGATGACATTGAAAGTTGTTTTCTTTGTTTTATTCAGGACCTCATTTCTGGGCGAATTGGTGGAATGATATATGATGTGCTAATCGCCAACAGACAGAATGAATAAAGTGTACATCTTATGAATTAAGATTTCTGAAAAAAAGGAGAGGGCTACAGTATTAATTTCGGAATTCGTTTGCATTGGAACGTGTTGATATTTTAATTTGAAGACAGTATATAATTCATGAAGTTTATTGGACAAATTAGAATCATACATCAAATGTGACTGATTTACTAAAGAACATTGAGTTAGAAATTTGACCATGCCGATTTTTATACTGAATCTTACACTGGTTTCCGTATAGACCGATATATCAAGCAGATACAGATTTGAGCACTGAGTCTCAAGATCCCTAGTACACATTTTTGTAATAGTACAAATCTGTTTTTCGTGTAAAACATACTCTAGGCGGGGAACCTCTATTTCAAAGTCTTATAATTCTTTCATTGCTGTGAACTGTCGTTTACCTTTTTATCTTGATGTACCTATGGCATAATAAAAGGTTATTATGATTATTATGATGATGATTCAAAATGATAATGGGTATGTTTATGTTTTGTATGATTAATGTAAATAATTATACGATGCTTTACTACACAGTAAACAGCAAGTTGTCGGTTGTAGAACCATGGAAAAGTATTTTACCCCCGTTGATAAATTACATTGTGTTATACATCTTTCGAGTTATTATGGAATCTAAATATTATCAGGGCAATGAACCTATGAATGAGTGTGTTCCAATTCTTCAAATATGTAAACAAGATAAACAAAGAAGAACGCAAACACAGGACCATCGTAAAGGAGCCCAGCGGGATAACAGACAAAAACATTCAATTTGTCAAATGTACTTTATTTGTATACAGTAACACTATAAGATGTATTCGAGTACTGATGACACGACATTTGATCAAAATATACTTATCATACTGACAAATGCGACATGATGAAAGGAGATAAAAACAGCGAGTATGCTACATACATTATAATTACAAGACGTAATACGTCTGCTTTGTGTTAGAGATTTTCAGAGGTATTTCAGGCGCATCAATTATATAATCCACATATTTAAGCACAAAAGCGCTGCACTGCATGCAAAGGCTAATTAAGTAGCAGTTTATATTTTTCTATATTATACAGTCCAACCTCAATTATTCGAATTACCGGGGACTGAAAATTTACTTCGAAAAATCGATGGGTTGGAGAACATATTGAAATGAAACTACTCCACTTGACCATATCGACAATTCAAGCGAAACTTTTCAACACGTCTGTTACCGGTAATCAAATAAACAACGACCAACGTTAAAAATATATTTTTATAAACTACTTGCAGTTAATTTCCAGGTTCTGTAGCACAGGTTAATATAAACATATAAACATGCACATTAAAACATCGCTGTCATCTCCGTGCATGTCGGACAAAGTGAAGGATTTTAATGATAGACATTCATGCATTACGAATGTATTCAAAATTATACAAACAGCATTAATATAAACCGTTCAATTAATAAAATAGTTTATTTTTATTTGTTTATTGTCATTCATCAATCAAAAAATCATTATTTTTGAACACCTTTTGAACACCTTGAACCGTGCACTTAATAGCATACAATTAATGTTCGGTACACGCAAATCGTAATTATCATGGCTATTAGAAGTTTTTGCTGCCAAGTTCTTCACAATTTGGGACGGTCAGCGAGTCAATCAGCGCCAATTAGTCTGGCTTCAAATAATAGGTGTGAAATTCTTACATAATGATATAATCCGGACCGAAATTTTACTTCGAAAAATAGGAGGTATCGGGTAATGCATTTCGAATAATACGTTCATATTTATATTAATTTATATAGAGATGAAGACGAGACCGTACATCTACTTTGGATAATGCAGGGTATTCGAATAATTGGTTGTCGAATAACCGGGGTCGGACTGAAGTTAATAAGCAGTTCTAGTAAAACAACTACAACACTGAAAAACCGCCTCCGTGGTCGAGGGGTTAGAGTCGATGACTTCTAATCCATTTACCTCTCTGGCGTGGGTTCGATCCCCGGGAGATGCTTTGGTAGTTTAGCGCGGAGGAAGGGAGTCTAGTACTGGTGTAACTCTCCAGGAACGATGGTTAGGAAACTACCCGCCTATATGACTGAAATACTGTTGGAAAAAGGCGTAAAATGAAACAAACAAAAACAAAAAAAACTACAACACTGTCATGTGACAATTTTTTATTGCCATTGTGAAGTGCAGCAAGACGATAAATCAAAATGGAAATCCTTGAAATGCTTCCCGTTAAAGAAGCACATCAATATCAGTATAGCATGCACTTTTCGTTATAATACAGACATTTTCACAAACACAATTTTTATAGTGGCATTAAAAGTCAATTCGTCAAATTGTTGTTCGAAAAAAATGCTGAATAACCGTTACCTTTCTTCTTATTTACTTGTTTTTATTTTGTTGTAAAAATATGCATACTGTTTTAAATTCAATAGCAACTTACAAGCAAAATAAAATATATTTTATGATCAGAAGTAGTTGATGCGTACATTGTTATTCCATGTTCGTTCAACAAAATCGAGACAAACCAGACTTTATCATTAACTACCTATTGTTCTCTTACTTACATGCAGTTTCCTTGTTTGTTTAATTGGGTTTTACGTTACATCGATATATTATAGGTCATATGACGACGTTCAAGATTTACTGAAGGAGGAAGACCTCAGTTGCCCTTCCGAGCAATATTTCATGCACGAATGGGCACTTGAGTAGAACCACCGACGTTCCGACTTACATGTAGAAGTTTGTACAAGTATTACCAAAATGATAGAGATAACGGTCTGTAATGTTTTTAAACTTTCAAGTCTCCTTTTTGAACACATTTTCTATATTTCACCAAGTGAAAATTGAAGGTAATCATTCAAAATTAGTCATCTAAAACATGCAAAACAAAACAGGGTTACATGCCCCTATCGTCGACTAAAGCAAATTCAACATTTAGGTGGTAAAATTTTAGAAAATTATAGAATCCGTTCTGTAACGAAGTTCTGTTATCGCTATATCCTTTTGAAACATGTCTACATATTTATGTCTACAGATAAATTTTAAGGATTATTGTTACAGCAATGTCATATTTTTGAAAAAAGTTATATCTTTGTAGAAAGATTTGAAATATTAAAAGGTAATTACAAGAATATTGATTAAGTTGTAATGATTTGCAGACAGAATTTATTGTATATGATGATGATACCTGCGGAGTTATATTTTTGTTTATTCATCTAACATATGAACAACTGTGTTCATTTTTCTTCATATCAAATCCATAAAACACTTCGTCTAGCCTCGTATGTATTTTCAAATTTCATTAATTACAAATAAATCCCATACTGTTTACAAAGTAATAAAGTGACACTATACATTATTGAATACACTTCTGATTTTAGTGTACTTGTTCACAGCTGCAAAATGAAATATATTCGGCTCAATGTACCAATGTTCGTTACAAACTATAGTTTTGACAATTATGTACTCGTCCAGTATAAATCAGCATTGAAAGCAATATCATTACTTTTATCATCTCGTGTCTTTTGACCTAGCTCTAATGAAACTACCATGGAATAAATACGAATGAGAATATTACAAGATATGATAAGATGTTTTGGTAGGATAAATGGTACAAAATATTTAACGTAGTTAAAGTAATACATCACTTATGATGCGTGAATACATAAAAAGATTACTATACAAAAAATCACACCCATTTAGAATAGTTGATGAAAAACTAATAAAAACATATTGTAAAAATCCCATGATAATAATTACCACCAAAAAGCTTTATTCATAAAGACATGTCATTATTTATTAGCGGTTAACATGTATGGACAATGAAAAGCAATGAATGATAAAGAGTGTTTTCCATTTTAAATATCAAGTTTTATGAAAAAATGCATAAATAAACTAAACTAAAAATCACACCCATTTAGAATAGTTGATGAAATACTACTAGAAAACATATTGTAAAAAAACATGATAATAATTGCAATCAAAAAGTTTTTCTTTTATAAAGACATGTCATTATTTACATGTATGGAAACTGAAGTCAATGAATGATAAAAAATATTTATAAATATTATATTTATATAAATACATATCAAGTTTTATGAAAAATCCATAAATGACATCACACGCAAAATCGGTAACCCGCAGCCGGGACTCAAACCATGACTTTCTTTCTTTTATATATTCATAGACGTACATAAGATGTGATTACTTACTTAACTTATGAACAGCTGTGCATTGCGGTTTTTGTTGCATACCGCGAAACATTGAATCAGTGTTGGTTATCATCTGACTGTCTAGAATCTCAATTTGCCGCCACAAGCATATAATGACATAATGATGCCTAATGACGTATTAAGATGGCCCTGGTATTTTTGGTATTTATAAATTATTCCAGTCGGTAGTAAATAAAGCAATCATGTTGCGAAGCTTTGAAAAATTTAGTTTGCCATCGTTTGAAATTGATGGTATTAATTTAATGTTAATAACTTTTTCAGTACAAAAAATATAATATTATATCAATAAAACATATTTGGTGTTATTTTGCCTTTGTCCAGTAAAGTTATTCATTGGCATCGGTGCATTGTTAACATTCAATGAAGCAGTAAATAAAATGATTCAAAATTCTAATTAAATATTCATTTAGAACATGTTGCTGTCTTACTTAGGCTTGTTTTACATCGAACAAACATGTTTTCGATAAAAAATATCAAATGAATTTCAGCGTAACATGCAAATGTAATTGAATAAAAAGAAACTTAATATCATAGAAAACTGGACATAAAACTGCAAACTGATATTTTGCCTTTGCCTGATAATTATAATGTCGATGTTTTTATCACACTTATTATTCATGTCGATCTATAGGTGCGAGTTTGTTTTTCTTCCGGAATGGAATGTGTATTGTGAGTCCAAATATATGCGCATCATTATGATCGATGTACACAGGGCCATGTTTAATCTTGTGCTGTGGTGTGATTGCAGGCAATGGAGCTCTAAAATGACAAAAAAGTTATATCATGTTATATATTCACACAGTATATAATAATAGGTTAATACACGACAAAACACGGTCAGATAACAATTTCATTTTTTTCCAAATATTATTATAACTTAAAGCGCATATTGTTAGATGATAATATTACTGACATAAATAATAGTATTACATATATGTTCAACCCAAACCTTGTTTTTTATTCATTATAATTTCATTTTTTGGCAGTCTTTTAACAGCAAACAATATGGCTACAACTTGTTTAAAGTCTGCGTGACCTTGTCGACAATATGCATTTTTTGCGTCACTAAGCAAGGTATTCATTTTCTGAAAGTCATCGAGATATATTTCTGTTTCATAATGAACTGTATAAGTGTATAAAGAAAGAGTAAGTCTCAGACGTCCTGGTGTAAGAAGTTTGATATATAGAAATTAACAAGTAAAAATGGGAAAACGGCAACATTTAGGTGTGAATTACAAAAAATGATATAATTTATTTGATTAAAAAATAAATAAAACCTATACAAGTATTTGTGATTACGACAATGTTTGATAATATGTATAGTTCATATATGCAATTAATTAAATATATTTCTGGTAAAATGTAATGCATGTGTTTCTAGTTCTTAAATAAAACACTTAACTTGAAGAGTGATCATGAATAACAAATAACAGCTTAATTTTATTTTAATATAAATTAAATATGTATTAAATTATATGATTATAAAAAAAACTTGTATTAAACGCCATCCTTTCTTCTATAATTGACATCTTCATGGACTTTCTTTTTTTGTTGGAGGTTACGGCTTCAGGAACATTATAAAATAATTGGTCGAAATATCCAATTAATTTAAGGGGTCAAGGTGTCTTAGGGGCCTAAGTGTCACGGGTCCAGATGTCATAGACTATTTAGAATATAACCTTCAATCCAATCTTTGTAAAATACTTTGTAATCTTAAAACTACAGAATGAACAACTCTAGATTCAAAACAAAAAAGTTAACATTAGCATATTGAAAGAAACAAAAGAATGTGTCATTTATATTCAAAATAGTATCTTGGAGATGAATTTCATTGCATGTTTGAATGTAACTTTTAAATAATGTTTAAAACTTTATTTTGCCAAATTATTCTTTCAAATAACTTATTTTCCTATAGCGTAAGGCATGATTTTCTGAACTTGCTTTGTTACCTGTTAGTGGATGTGTTAACATATCATAAGTAATATAGATATCATTTATGTTACAAACCAACTCATGTCGAAAGAAAATTGTTTAAACGAATACCTTTATGTGTTTAATTTGTTTGTCAAAATGTTCTCAATTATTATATATCCTTTTTGTTCTGTTAACGTCATAAGTTTTGAATAACTTTTCATTGTCAATGGTGTTAACTTTCCATAACCCATGCATTTTCCCATTTTCCCAGTGTCACCATCGCCCAGATTACCAGACTCATTCCTAATTGGAAATATGCTTTTTTTCTAATCTTAAATTAATACCCTTCATTGACATTCTTTAAAAACAGAGCTGAAATGTTTGTAGGAGGTCATTCCAGTATGGTAACAGAGAAATGATTCCACAAATTTCATTGCCAAAAGAGCATGAAGGAGGTTGATCGTGAACATAAGAGAGGTTTCAAAAGATACTTAATATTATCCCACTCAAGCAATTTTACGACGCAAAATTCACAAAACTGAGCAAGGTACATTTTTCCAAAATGGCTCGGAAAAGGCATATTACCTTATGCATATCATATGCGTTGGTCGTGAGCTTTCGGCCCCGGGCCGCAGTCTCAGAATAGGTCACGTGATACTCATAATCAGTTGAAATCATATGCAATTTCGTATTATATATAATAGGTATATAAGCGTATGATAGTTGTTTTTAAATATAAACACCTGTCTTATTCTTCAGAATATTTATTATATAGTTTGAAAGTAAATAAAAAGTATTAATTACCCGGATGTAAGATATGACATCATTTCTGTTCCTCGCGGTGGTACAGGTGGTGCAGTTGCGGGATATTGTTCGTAAGCAAGGTCTTCCGGGTCAGACTCTAAACAAATAATCAAAATTACACATTGATTGATATAATCCAACAAAAAAATTCTACGTAGTGATATTTAATATGTGTAGGTTTATTTTTTTGATGAGTTAATTAAAATCAATAATGAAACCACATGCGTTTAATATTCTATTAATCACAAACCCAAAATAAAACACTTGTTGTCACAGACACGCCTAAAATAATGTATATACTTTCAATTTCAACATGTCCGGAGAAGAGTGAATTTTGGAAAATTACATTTATCAATTCAAAAATGAGCGATCAGTTATCACATGAATCGCCTCACGGAATTCAATTGCATGTTGCAAAAATTGATTTACAGGCAAGACGCGTTTAGATCAAGGGCCTCAATTCGGCCACAAATCATTCACCAAAAAATCCTTGTCAAATTGGCAAGAACTTGAGCTACTCATCAACCTTGTAAAATTTCATTGAAATTGCAATAGCGGTGTTAGAGGAATAGAGCAGAAGATTTAAAAAATAAAAAGACTATGACAAGAATAATTGGGTCAAAAACCACAGATGATGTGCACGACAATACTAAGTATTTCTCATTCCTGAGAAGTTTTGAGGAAATTGCACCTGTAGTTTCTGAGTTGAAGTCTGGACGAACTTCTTTGTAGTTTGCATCACAAAACAAGAGCGATCAGTTATCACATGTGTTGCCTCATCATAGCCAATTGCATGTTGTAGGTACTGTGTAGCACGATAAAGAAACGCATTTTTATTTAACATGTTTAAGGGCTATACGAGCCAAAATAAGTCAACCGGAAAACCCGTTTAAGACATTGATTTATGAGTTGAATACCTTTTCACATAAGACATGGTTGATAATAATATGGAACATATATTTGAAGTTTGAAGTTGATCTGTAAAGAAACAAGAGGGCCGTGAATGTTGTAGATATCCGTGATCATCCTTATTTAGGTCGGAAGAGAATGATGTTTTAAGAATTGTTTTTTCTTTTTTAAGCTAAAGTGGCCCCTGCAAGAGGACAATCAAATTAATTTGAACAATTTTTATAACAGACTACATATGAATGCTACATACAAAGTTTCGTGATAATCGATCAATAAGTTCATTACAAAAAGATGTTTAAAGGTGTTTTCCTATTTTAAGCTCTGTTGACCCCAAAACGGGTCAATTGGAAAGATGTGAGCAAATTTAAGTATGACTATCACAAAGAAACTACAGACATAATTTGAAGTTAATTTGCCCAGCGCTTAACGAGAAGAAGATGAATGTTGACAAATGACGACGGACGCTGGAGTATCCCCCTTTGATATCAATAGCTCACCCTAAACCTTCAGTTCTGGTGAGCTAAAAAAACAAGTGAGAATAAAAATAGTATATTTTACGGAAATTCTAAGTTCAAGGGTAGATCATTTGAAAACCTTTCTTCTAATGTTTGAACGTTGTTACATATGATGTTGACAATGATAAGGAACATGTATTTTCAGTTTGAATTTGATGCCCTAAGAAATAAGATAATAGAAATATAATAGAAATATTTTACTGCACCAAACTTTTAATCAGAAACGGGCGCTATGAAGTACGCGGGTTGACGTTAGACAGTTCTCCAAATACTTCGTGTTATCGAGCTAATAAAGTACTAATAAAGCTAATAAATTACTTCTATCTTGATCACGGTTACTGTTGTTTGTACACCATTTGACAACAATCAGCACTGCTAAAAGAGCTATTACTACAGCTACAGATAGTACAATAACAGCTATTTTCCATGCAGCAAAATCTTGTCCACCCTCTTTACTTTCATCTGTGTCTGTATCAAGATCCTCTTTACTATCACCGTTACCATCAGCTTAAACAAGAAAATTAATTACCCACATGCTCAATAAACATATGATAAAATTTAAATTTGACATTTACGACTGTTAAGTCTGAAATTTACAATCTCGAATTCACAGTTAACAAAGGCCACATAATCAAATATTGGTCAAAATGTAACACTGTGTGTGGAGGTTCCGTGTTGAACTTCTTGACTTACTTCCAAGTATTACAGTTGTGACTCAAAAAATGCATGTTCATTAACAATATCTTACACATTAAAGAATCATATATTGTTGCTTAAAATGTGATTGTTCTCATAGCCGATGCGCACTTCTAAGATAATATATTTTTTTCTGATGGCATTTCACCAATAATATCAAGAACAACTGCTGGGCGGGCCAATACTCGACTTTTTTTCTTTTTTCAAGAAGAAAACAATTTATAGGTTTACACAAATTTTGAAAATGAAATATTCAAAATGAGTTTTTCCATTTATTTAATTTCTATATGTAGGTCTGGTTACACTTGCTGTTGTGTCGAAGTATGAATCATTTCAAAAATGTACAATGATCAACTTTACATCTGAAACAGTACATATAATCCATCAAATCCTAACATAAAAAAAAAATGACAATTCAACAACCATTCAATAATTTGACATGGACGGTTAAAGTCATTCTCAAGGTCAAGATCATCCTTAGCTGTAAGTTCTTGTCCAAAAGGTTATGTTGTCCAAGTAGAAAATAATCCATTTATTTATTACAAAGGTATAGTCAATTGTAGCTAACAACAGTGAAATAACAATAATTCAACCTTCAATGTCACAGGCATAAATGAGCCAAAGTCAATTTAAAAATGTGATATTGTACATGATGGCCTCATCCTTAAGAACGTTGTGTCTTTATATAAATTCAATCTATTTATGAATTATTATCACAAATTTAAAAAATATGACCAACAATGTCATAATTTTATATGAGTGAAGGCCAAGGTCTTTTGATAAACTTAAAAGTCTGGTCTAGATGATTGCTTGGTTCAAATTTGAAGACAGTCCATTAAAAATATAACAACAACATCAAAATTTAGTCATTTGACTTTAATGGGGTTAATGTTGTTTATGAATGAAGGTCAAGTTTTAGTCTGTTTTGCTTTGAGGTCTTGTTCCAAGGGTTGTTGTGGCCAAGTATGAAGACAATTTACGAAGAATTCGAAAAAGATACGATCAATTTCAGTTTTTTTTGGGACGGCAACGGGAACGCCGACATGAATGTAAGACTATAAGACATCTCGACCCCTTGACATCTCGACCGTAGCCGACTCGACCTCTGAGACACCTTGACCCATGGCACTTTGACCTGTCAGTCTCTTAGACCCCTTAAATTGACCGGACAATACATTTGCAATTAAAACCCTTATTCCATAATGTACATTTTGACGTTACTTCAAAAGAAAAAGATTATGAATAAAGACGTTATGTCAGAAAAATGTAGAGTTTTACAAGTTTGTTTGATATACATGTATATATAATTTAAATACATGAAGACACATTGAATTATTGTTTGATTCATGATAACATTCAAATTATGAGCGAAAAATGCGTAGATGAAATACGAGATGAAAAGCGTTTGGATGCAGATTTTTGAAAATTAATTTTCTACGTCTGTTTTCAGTTTGACTTCCTGTAAAAAAAAGAGAAGAACTGAATATTTGTGAAAATGTTATTGGTTATTTTAAAATAACAATCTGAACTCTTGGAATCTAGCTGGCTATTGTAAAATTAGTAGAACAACAAACAGGATTTTTCTGACATGATTCTCATTTTTAATTGATTTAAAGAAGTGTGGAAACGAATTTCATTCATAAGTTATTCTACTATCAATTTAAATTTCAAATGATTAAGTTGTGTTTAAAAATTACTTCTCCTACACATTATAAGTTCTTTATTGCCGTGCATCCTTCTGCAAACTAATTTACGCTGCTGTAACGAGTAATCAGTTTTGTCAAATATTAACTAAACCACCACTTAAAATGTTTACTTTCGCGCATGAAAATAGCGAAAATGCACTCAAAAAAGAGCTTATCCAGTATTATCAAAGTTTATAATTTCTATGCATTTTACCTAATTATGTTACCGCTAACGGTTGATGAAACGTTTTTTTTATAATAAAATTGATGTTTGATTCGGTTCTTTTTTCGGATTTAAGGTTAACTCTATCACACAAAATGGGTGTAAAATTTGTTTATTATTCTAAAAATAAACATAGGAGTCAATTTTGCAGTTTCCACGAAATAACTCTGACCTTACGACTGTTGTAAATAAACACCCCTGTTATTACACCCAGAACTCATTATATAAATTAAAGATTTAAACTGGAATACCGGGATGTGTTGTAATTTCTTTTTATTTAAAATGAAAATAGTTAATTCTAATATGTGCCCTTTTGTGAATGTCAAGAAGAAACACTTATACATTTTGGGAATACAACAAGATTCAGCCAATATTTCAGTTTCTGAAAGAAAATTTAAAATAACTTTGATACCTTTTTTAATTGTAAATCTTTTATTCTAGGCTGTGAACTAAATGTTCACAGATTTGATGTCTTGTTTTTAGAATTATATATATATAATATTATATATTTGTCTAAGCGAAAACAATTGTTACCTACTTGTACTGGTTTTAAAAATAGCTTAAAATTAGCTTGGAATATTAATAAGAATATGAATTTGACAAAAGTAGACATCAATATATTATACAATTACATCAAAATTAGAAAAGTCCACTAACATAAAAGAAAACAAATTCAACGCATACAAGATTTTGTATTTCAGATGTTATTTTCGCTATTCCTACACCCTTTTAAAAAGTAAATAAATGATGTAATTATTAATCTTATAAATTACATGCATATGTGTTAACTGTTAAACATTATGGAATGTGATACAATGATAGTATGTATATGATTTGAATGATATGTATGTTGATATGTTTGTATATGACTTGATTGATTGTACATTATGATTGAATTGTATACACAATATGTGTAAGGTATGATGGGGATGCCCTCGACCCTTTCCGACCTATTTCGAGGAATATAAACGGGGTAACCTAGCCTAATTATGTTAATTCAATATGTAACATCCATAGGTCTAGAAGTCATCTTAATATCTTAAGAGGTCGAGAAGCCAAGGGGTATTAGTGTTCTTCTTACAACTGTAACAATACCTCTATTATTTACTTCGAAAAAAAGTCGAGCTATAAGCAAATGCTCATAAAATCTTACCAATGCAGGTACTTGTTTCCCACAACCCCGTGTCTAAACATTCGATCGTCGGTTTTGTAGTGTTATACCCGTCTTCACAAATCACATTTGCACGAGCTCCATTAGACGAGTCGTTCTCAACGATCAATGAGGCATTGCCATTATCAATAGCAATACTAGTAATTGGAGCACAATCTAAATAAAACAATTATACACTTGTACATTTTTTCTGTATCAAATGTGCAAATACGGAACGGGATATCACCAAAGTGTGATCTTGAATGACATTGCTGGCATTATACCAATTGCTTTATACTTTAATGTTTCTATTAAATTCGACAAGGAATATAATAATAAAGTTATTGTAGAGTAATAGGAGCAGTTAAATCTGGCCAATGGTTTTACGAAAATATGTGTCACAATGCGAGAAAGAGCAAAGTCTGATCCGTTATTATAGTAATGCATTGGTATCAAAAACAAGTAATAAATCAAGTTACTACTATTATATCACTGCTATTTCAATAAGTATATTTAAGCGCTATATATTAAGATATCACTATGACTTCACAAAGACTGAATTTGTAGTAAAATAGTAAAAAAGTACAATAAAAATATCACACCATTTATATATGATGCTCTATCTTAATTGTACTGTTTGCATCTCCTAACCGTCACAAATATCACATATTAAACCAAAATACAATAATTGCATTTTAAATCCTAGATAAGCCATTTCCAAACAACAGTCTTGTCATTGTATCGTAATGTTTGATAAATCAAATGAAATGGTGATTGTAAAAGTAAACATGTTTTCTTTATTCAATTTGATAAGAAATGACGAATGTCAACACTACTGACTACGATCCCACGCTACAAGTTATATTCCTCGTTGATATTTTCTTCTCCTAAAATTGGCGACGTATTTATAGGTTACAAAATACTAAAACATACCAACACATCGAATCTCCGGTACAGACGAGCAGCTCAGACTGAATTGGGTATTTACTGCTGTAGCTAGAATAAAAAAGATAAAATCATTCCACAAATAGCTTAAATAAGATAAGAGATTATCAATTATATTATATTTGTATATGCAGAAACGGAGGAAATGAAAACACAAATACTTGATAAAATGAAATGATATTTATAATTACCAGCAAATCCAAGAAAAAATAATCCTTCCTGGTTAGCATTGGAATTGTCCAAAAAGTTAATAGTGATATAATGCTTGTTTAAAGTATGAGTGGTGATGTCAGATCCATAGTAACTTTCACATTCGATACCATGTAATGTCACGTTTAAATTGTCACGCATTTCTAGTCTTTGTTCACAGTTTGATGCATCTAGATACAAATCAGCATCAATGATATATAAGTTAACACTAGATGTACAATCATATATTTCTAGAGAGCAAGAACATGTTGATTCGCCTGTTGTCACACCTGGATAACCTTTATTTGTTAAATAAAGTGGTAAACTCGATGAATGTATTTTGTCACTTGAACATACGGATAACTTCCTTTCAGCTGTAATCATAAAAACTTAAAATTTTATGAATAACAAAGAGGGGGTTTTGTGCCCCAAAACATGTGTTTCCCACAACTAGGTATGGTACTGATGACTCCTGCGAAGTTTCGTCGGTATCGAACTAGCGGTTTTTGCCTTTAAAGGCCAGACAATTTGGGTTTTTTATATTTATTTATTTATTATTTTACTACTTTTTTAATCAAGCTGTGGTGGCCATTTTGTGCTGGCGGTATACACGATAAGGGAAGGGTACTTATAACTCCTGTGAAGGTTACATTGAAATCCCGCCAGCAGTTCGACATGTGCAAGCCGGACAGACAGATAGTCGGACAGGCGACGAAGGCAAAACAATATATATATATATATATATATATATATATATATATATATATATATATATTATATATATATATATATTATAATTTAACTTTTTGGGAAACATAATTCAGTCAAATTATTTAGCAAACCCAATAAATCAAAACAATGTTTGATATAAAATATATGTGTATCTATTTTGTTTAATCTATGAATTGATTTGACTGACTTATTTATTTTTTAAAAATCAAGTTTTAATACAAAAGAATGTTGATAAGGTGAAGTATTAAAACTTAATAATTGAAAAATCCTTACAAGGAATACAATAATAGTAAATTGTAACATAGGAAGGTTCGTGCGCTCCTTGGGAACAAAAATCCCGGACCCCTCCGAGGGCAATAGTGCAGGACGATTTTCCAGAACATTGACGCCGAACATCAATTCTATCCGACGTCGTCGCACTTTCTAAACAATGGTCCGTATTAAAGTCGCAACAAATTGAATCACAAAGCGCATTATATCCATATAGGATAGAATCAACAGCTATCACTGAGCTTCCGCAGTCTATGTTAACATTGCCTGTATTACAGTGTGTTTCATTTCTTCTTTCTTCTACGGATGACAGTTGTGCTGGAACAAGTCATTATATTAATGCTAAAATCATCACATTATTTTCATGATTATCAATATAATTTTTATTACATGTGTCATAATAATGCTTAAAATAATAATAAGAAGAATAATAGTATAAAAAATATTATTTTATCAATATTATGAGTACTATTATTATCATTATTATTATAATAATAATAATAATAATAATAAAATAATAAAAATAATATAATAATAATAATAAAAGTAATAATAATAATAATAATAATAATAATAATAATAATTATTATTATTATCATAATTATTATTATTATTATGTTTTTTATTTAATAATTATCATTATTATTAATATTATTATCATTATTATTATCATTATTATTATCATTATTATTTTATTATTATTATTTTATGACTATTATTATTTATATTTACATTTATTTTTACATTTAATTAGTTATTTTTCATGCTTATTTATAAATATACTTCATACTTATTTATCAATCTTTTCATTTAATAGTAGATACAAATTCAAGTAAATTTGTGGTTTAAATGTAGGTCTAACACGTTCCTTGGTAAAATTTATAGTTCACAAGTTGTTATTGATAGTGATATACTAGTTCCATAATTCAAACATCACTCTGTGATTGAATGCTCTTAACATATTCTTTGGCATGAAGTTATTTACAACAAAATTGAAATAGATACGTGTATGTATCAATGCATTCCAAAATATCATTATTTTGCACATCAAAGAATGTTACAATTTACTAAAGTGTTATAAGCTACAATTGTAAATATGTGTAATAAATTAGCTGAAAAGGGGGCGAAAGAATATTTTAATCATTTGATCAATAAAGAAAAAACGGCACATGTATAAGCGTTCATTCGACATATATACAATATAATTGCAATTTAAACAATATGACATATTACTTCATGTACATGTATATAAATAAATGTATACTAATGAATGTAACGATGAATTAATTCAGTTCAATTCTAACAAATTAACCGGGAATGTTATAGATAAAACACATCGTGTTTACATGATTTTCTTCACTTAGTTATAAGTGTAAATCGATATGATGATATGTGAATATAACTGTTGGTACAGGACTGGAACGACACATTTCAACATACATTATATATTCTATTGCGATCTTATTTATCCTTACGGTTCAATGTCATTTTGGAGATTAATTAGTTACCGATTAATATTGATATTATAAATTAAACAACATGTACTGTATGATATAATTAGACAATAAAATAACTCACCTGATATGCACTGTATCATGTATAAAACCATGAACGATTTATATACAACTTCATTCATTCTAATGATGAAGAATAAATCTTATTTTCACCCGGAAGAAATATCGTCACATATTTGCGTTGTTAACGACCGCCTTTGCTATGCACCGATAAGCCCGTTAAGCATTAATAGTAAAGATTTGCTTTTGATTATTCACTATTTAAAACATTTATTCAATAACGTCGATATCAGATTTCACAACTCCATAATTGATCTTTAAAATTGATATAACAATAACGAAAAGTGGAAAACAAAACATATCAATTTGAAAAGATATTGATTGTATTTAAATCGGGTAAAAGTTTTACAAAATATTGATCGCAATGAAAGGTTGAAATAGAAGGGGAAACAATTAGGTTACTTTATAATCATGAATGCTTTCACTTTTCTTCACCTTCTATAAGGAGTTGTTATTGATTCAAAATACTTTACATATCATACACAAAAACAGTAAAGTGTTATGTTATGATTATTAAAAATTATTATTCCATTTGTTGTTACTGTCTTCGTGTATTGTTCTCACGAGTTTGTCCTATATGCGTACTTGCGTGCGAGTGCATATACCTATCGTTATGGACACACACTTTTTACACTGTGAACCCATGAACATAGTGTCCACAAAGATCACACAGCCAGAAAAAAAAGAGAGTCAAAAATGGGTAACTTCCCTTTAAACCATGCTACTTACGTTGTTATATCATATAAAGTTAAACAAATTTAAAGAAATTTAATATTTAACTCACTTACGATCCGTGCGTTAATTTGACACCAAAATGAAGCATTTGCTTTTTTTTGTAGAAGCAGTCGGATTTTTATTTCGTTTTTTTTTTTTTGTTCTGTCTTTTTAATCATTTTTTTTTCATTTTACACGTTTTAAATGGTTTTCATTGATGTATACTATACTGAGTTTGTTCAGTTTTTTTTATAAATTCATAACTATTCTAAGTTTATATGATTTATGTAATTTACTCAAGTAGTTTTTATATACGTCCATCAATTTTGTAATGATCAATAGTGACTAAAAAATAATTCTTTGTAATAGTAAGTTTCCTTTAAATGTCACGGTTTGTTTTCAAAAGTGATCGTTACAGGAAAAATGTTTCCAAAAACAAAATTAAATTGTATGAATGTTATAATCTATAACTCATGATTATCCTTATAGCATTATCATTATAATTATTTTATATATTTAACGTGCTAGAAATGTGAGTTATCAGTTAAGGGAAGGACTCTTTATCGTTAAAATATAAAAAAAAAGAACCGAAAGCGGAAAAGGCAAAAGAGTAAGAAATAATGAGCCAGTGTTGATGTTTTAGGACTTTAAAAATGTCAAACTCCGTGTTCATCATGAACTCCAGGATTTGAAGAGGAAATACAATCAGTGAAAAAAGTAACACGCAATAAATGATAACAGAAGTGTAATAAAAAGCTCATTGTCATTATTGTATGTTTATCTATCTGCATTAGAGGCATTTAATTCTCTATTGCATACACCAAACAATCAATTTTTATAAGGGAAGCTTGTATCGAGAATGCAAAATATTGTGTAAATATTGTTTACAAAAAAAAAAAAGACCACGTAAAGTTTATTCGCAATTTTAAGTAATTCATCATTCAGGTCACATAATGATTTCTACTTACTAATGGTCAAAAATTCAAGTTATAATGTGCCATACATAGATATCTGCAGGTTGTTTAGACTGTTTTTATCATATTATATTTTTTAAACATTCATTTACGTGTTGTATTATTAACTGAAACTTGCACATCATTATCAGTATCAATAAATAGTTGAATGTTATAGTTGAATAATGGCACTTAACTACGGAATGCCGTTAGGGCCATTGCCTATGAATGTGTTGATCTGAAACGCGATAGTCGATAGTACGATGGTGGAAACGCGAAATCACGAAACTACGATGGTGAGCACGCGAAAGCACGAGTATGAAAACGCGAAAGTACGATGATGAAAACGCGACAATACGATACTACGATGATGAAAACGCGATAAACTATCGTGTTTTCACCATTATACTGTCGCGTTTTCACCATCGTAGTTTCGTGATTTCGCGTTTTCATCATCGTACTGTCGTGTTTTCATCATGGTACTATTGCGTTTTCACCATCGTACTATCGCGTTTTAATCATCGTACTGTCGTGTTTTCATCATCGTACTATCGTGTTTTCACCATCCTACTGTCGTGTTTTCATCATCGTACTATCGCGTTTTCATCATCGTACTATCGCATTTTCACCATCGTAATTTCATGATTTCGTGTTTTCACCATCGTACTATCGCGTTTTCACCATCGCAATATCGCGTTTTCATCATTGTACTATCGTGTTTTCACCATCGTACTGTCGTGTTTTCATCATCGTACTGTCGTGTTTTCATCATCGTACTATCGCGTTTTCATCATCGTACTATCGCGTTTTCATCATTGTACTATCGCGTTTTCACCATCGTAGTTTCGTGAGTTCGTGTTTTCACCATCGTACTATCGACTATCGCGTTTCAGATTAGCACATTTATAGGCGAAGGCCCTAACGGCATTCCGGAATGCCGTTAGGGCCATCGCCTATGAATGGTTTGATCTGAAACGCGATACTCGACGGTACGATGATGAAAACGCGAAATTACGAAATTGCGATGGTGAAAACGCGACAGTACGATGGTGAAAACGCGATAGTTTATCGCGTTTTAATCATCGTAGTATCGTACTGTCACGGTTTCATCATCGTACTATCGCGTTTTTATCATCGTGCTTTCGCGTTTTCACCATCGTAGTTTAGTGATTTCGCGTTTTCACCATCGTACTATCGACTATCGCGTTGTAGATCAACACATTCATAGGCGATGGCCCTAACGGCATTCCGTACTTAACCAAATTGACACCTAATAAACTAAATAAATTATAATGTTAACAAAAAGTATCTTTAAAAAGACACTCGGCCGAAGTAAAACGTGTTATCTTGCATTAGATAAGCTACTGCTAACCATGCTAACCACAAACAGTACATTTAATTCATCCGCAATAGTTTTATTTCAGTTCATGTTTTTCCAAATTAATTGTCATTTTAGATTTTAAACAATTTTAAATATTTTTTACATTTTGGTTTTTAAAATGGTTTGTTTTAAATAGGAATTTAAAAAAAAAAAATTTCATAGTAATTATTTTACTTATTAAGGGGGGCATTTTAAAATTAGTCAATTTTTCCCCAATGGTCTTAAAGGTTCGAAAGGGAAAATTTAAACTAGAACAGTTGAAAAAAACCAATGAACGAAAAAGTAAAAAAAAGGGATCTGTAATTTTAATTTTTCATATTTTTATTGAAAGTGTTGGGGGAAACATCTTTAAAATTATTTTTGTTTTTAAAATTTTTTTCAATTTTTTCCCAAAATTCTTGCATCCGAAATCGAAAGACCTCCCTGAAAGGGAAACTTTCTAAGTTATAAAAATAGGTATAATTTTAAAAATGAGAAATAAAATTTTCCCTTATAAATTTTATTTTTTACTTTTAAATTTTTAGCAAAAGTAAAGGTAAAATCAACGGTTCATTACAAAAATTGTGGTTATGATCAGCTATTAAATTGTCCAAGTTAGTTTGATAGCAATTTAAACGTAATATCAGATCGAATGGTACCATTCATTTGTGACTTGTGTACGGAAGCGTCCTGGTGCCAATGCAGCATGTTCTATTAAAAAAGATAACTCCTACGTAGGGCTTTATAACTCCTACGTAGGAGATAAAAGAGCCTAATTAGGAGTTTATAACTCCTACGTAGGAGATATTAAAACCTAATTAAGAGTTTGAAAGTCCTACGTACTCCTAAATAGGTTTTTATCTCCTACGTAGGAGTTATAAAGTCATACGTAGGAGTTGCAAAGTTCTACGTATTAAGAGTTATCTTTTTTATAGAACATGTTAAATTGGCACCAGGACGCTTCCGTACTTGTGAAATTCCTTATGTCAAGTGCACAACAAAAACAAACTAGAACTCCGCGAGTCGGATGTGTCGCCTTGGGAACAATGTAGATTAGGAGAAATGGCCAGGACAAAAATGAAATATGAAAAATAACAATGGGTAATAACTAAAAAAAATAATAAGTGCAGAGCAGCAGTGTCTGTGCACTGCAATTCTTATCAATAAGATCTATCATTCTATGATGTTTCAAGTCCATAGCTTTCATACTTGAGGAGAAATGACCAGGACAAAAATAAAGGAAGAAAATCAACAAAGGGCAATAACTCAAAAAATAAGAAACGCAGAGTATCAGTTCTTATGCACTGCACCTTTTCTTCATGAGATCTATCATCCTATGAAGTTTCAAGTCCATAACTTTCATACTTTCGGAGAAATGGCCTGGACAAAAATTAAGTATGAAAATTAATAAAGGGCCATAACTCAAACATTAAGAAATGCAGAGTACCGATTCTTCTGCCCTGCACTTTTTCTGAATGAGATCTATCATCCCATGAAGTTTCAAGTCCATAGCTTTTATACTTAAGGAGAAATGGCCAGGACGAAATTAAAGTATGAAAATAAACAAAGGGCAATAACTCAAAAAATAAGAAATGCAGAGTAACTGTTCTTGGGCACTGCACTTTTTCTTAATAAAACCTATCATCCTATGAAGTTTCAAGTCCATGGCTTTTATTCATTAAGAGAAATGGCCCGGACAGAAATAAAGTATGAAAATTAACAAAGGGCAATAACTTAAAAATTAGGAAGTGCAGAGTACCGGTTCTTGTGCACTGCACTTCTTCTTAATGCGATCTATCATCCTATGAAGTTTCAAGTCCAAAGCTTTTTTAGTTGAAGAGAAATGGCCCGGACAAAATTAAAGTATGAAAATGAACAAAGGGCAATAACTCAAAAAATAAGAACTGCAGAGTACCGGTCCTTGTGCACTGCTCATCGGGTTATTGAAAGAAGCAGGCATACCAAGTTTGAATCAATCAGACTTATAGTGACTGAGTTATGCTCTGGACAAGCTTTAGGGGACGCCGACAACGACGCCGACAACGACGCCGCCGACACAGACGCCGCCGACGCCGCCGACAAAAGTAACCCCTATATGTCACCTTTTCAAGGCGACACAAAAACTGACTTCTCATAAATCAAATGGTTTTTTTTAAGATTTGAAATATTATTGTATACATCATGCTAATTCTACAGACTAAAACAGTTATTTCATATACATTTAAGAATTTTACAACTAAGAGATAAATGTCATGTCGTAAATAAAAAAGTGTGACAGGAAATTTGTCCCTGCATGCCCTCACATAAAAATAATTTAAATTATATATAAATCACGAGGGGATCCTTATGTGAAATCCCACATAAATCGTTTGTGTCCAAGAATCGCTAGAATTGTTTGATTACAGACTGTTATGGTATTCTGACCTTTTCAATGCAAGATTGGTCAAATTTCTTGTTTTACAACTAAACAACGTTCATGAAGTGGGATGCAGAAAGGATTGTAGGACCAACAATAAAGAATAAGACATTTTTTTTCAGGAATAATTAATGAAAAAACATTGCATTTTAGTTAACGAAATAGAATAGATTTGATAATGATTCAATAAAGACCAATTGCTTTTTAAATTGAACACTTGTACAGTGATATTTATACAAATTTAATATTTACCATACATTCTCAGCTGTGTTAATTACCAAGACATTGTCTATATTGAATGCATTCAGTTTTTATCTTTGAACGACATGTAAAAAAATATTTCAGAATAAAACATAGTAAATTAACACATAATGCCTATCGAATCCAACACATTTATCTTGAAAGGATATAGGTGTTAACAATATAAATCAAATTGTGCCATAGTGCATGATAAACAATCTCAATATGTCGAATAATAAATTATGATAAAATGACAATCTATTTTGATTCTACTTCTTTCTGTCTATTTCTACTTTGATATTATTATTATGTTCATTAAAAAGATATCATTGTGTGATTGTGATCTATACCTTTCATGTGTGTATTTAAAAATATTTTATTATAAAGAAAAAATTAAAACTGTATTTTATTGCACATAACTTAATCAACCAAAATGTGCACCTATTTCACGTGTTGGATTAATACGCCAACGGCAAACAATATATAAAACCAATAAATTTGATTCCATACATTTCAACATCTGTTTACCTATCAATTGTTTATAAACCTTATTATTTTGATTTCATTATCTTAATTCTGCAGGCAATAATTTACTAAATGAAATATTTACTAAAGGTAACTGGTTTAGTTCAATCTCAGTTCACACCTCTGTTATACGTAAATAACTTTAAAATTATCATACCAGATTGATCGTATCAAATACTGTAGGGATGCTCACTGATATACTTATGTTACCTATAAAAATGATATATCATGTGAAGTACAATATCAATCGTGCTATAAAAGAACATTAATTTTATAGATTGACTGTTGCAAGCAGGAAGTCAGGCATGCGAACTGCCTTATAGAGATGTACTAGAATTTTCAAGTTTGTGAAACTATGAAACACAATAAGTTAAAAATCAAGAGCTGAATGTGTAAAAAAATAGTAGATCCGTGAATTAAAAACCGTCGATTTGTTCTGATAAAGTAATGAAATCATCGCTAAGATAGTGTTAAAATGTATTTGCCTTCATTTGCACCGATACTTTAATTTTACACAAACCTTTTCATACACATGGACTTTATTGTTAAATACACATCCACCTTTACACAAGATACTTGTTTCTGTAAGATATGTTCTAATGAAAACTTTATTGAATTCTTGTTCACATGATTAGTAGACAATGTTTTCACTTAATTACTTTGTCTGTGGAATTAATAAAACTTAACATCAGAATTCTAACCTCATCCAAAAATGAAAGCTTATCAGAACGCATATCAATTTCGAATGATCATCACTGTTTATTGTTGTTTTATTTTTGCAATTTCACAACAAGAATGATAAAACTGGTGTAAATGAAATATGTTCCAATTTCATTGTATGCTTATTAAAATTTTACAAAAAACACATTGAAACGGTGGTTCGATGTTGCAAATGGTATTTTATCCCCTTTGCATCTTAAGTTAATGTTAGTGTTCATCCGTGCCGTTCTACAGAAATTAGAAATTTCGACGGGAGCGATAGTGACCGGAGAATGTTGCTAATTTCTGTAAAACAGCTACGGATGAAAACTAACATATTTAGTGACAAACTCTATTTGGCCTCATTAATATTCACTTTATTACGTCACTTCCAGTCTGCGTTATAAATCAGTTACCTGATTTGGGGGGGGGGGTAAATTTGACCTCATAATATGCATGATTTACGTCATTTTGCGCGTGAAGACGCATTTACTCTTGGGCAATATGAAGGGCGGCATAATTATGGCTGATGCGAGATATTGAAACATTTTTACCGGAAAATATTTTTGATGAGTTGGATAATTTTTACCTGTTATGATTATTATTACACTTTGAAGGGTTGGACAACTGATACTCAGTAGCTAATATCTTATTTGATTTATACATGTATACACTAAATTTCAGAGGTCACGGTATATATTTTCCAAAAGAATTGTTTACTTTCACTTTATGTCTACCGAGACACACGTGACTTTTCTCAAAGTTACAAACTAATAAAGACCTTTTATTACATTCAAATTAAAAGATATTAATTGACATTTTGTATTGTTTCTTTTTTTACCAATACACATGAGGTATCTTTTCGCCAAGACACGGATTTAAAATGCATGTATATCCTTTATCAATATAAGCAAAATTGAAATATTAAATTGGAAAGAGATACTGATTCTATTTAAATCGAACAAAACTGGTTTACATTTCAATTAAAAAAGTATTGATCGTATATGCTGAAATAGAAGGAAAATAAGTCGATTTCTTTATAATGACGATTGCTTTCCTTTTCCTTCACAGTCCCTCTAAACTAGTCTGAGGAGTGGTTAGTGAATCAATGAACTATACAATTTATACAAGACAAAAGAGGAGTGATATGTGATGATAATTAAAAAAAAGATTCATTTGTTGTAACTGTCTTCGTGTAATGTTCAGAGAGTTTGCTCTAGGTGCGTGCAAATTTATATATGTATCGTTTTGGACACAAACGTGCAGTGCGCACACATTTTGCGCTGTTGACACCTGAACATAGTGTCCAAAAAGATACAATCCGATTAAAATCAGTTCTAAATAACGGTCCGCTTTTAGATCTGACCGTAAAAAATTATGAATTCATTTCTGTTTACCTTTCAGACAGTCAATCCTCGGCGATCTTTCACATCTTTGAAAGCAATGTGATTCCTTATTTTAACCCTGGGAAGGAAAACCAATAATGAGTAGGTTATTTTCACGATATCGAGAAGAAACATTACGTTGTCCATACAGCCGACTGGTATACTTACAAAACAATCTTGTCCATTTAAAATTTACTAGTTCTTGTTTATTTGTTAAACATTACATGCAACATTTGTTTCTAACAAAAATCAATAATTTCTTTAACATCTATGCCTAACGATATTTGATACCTCTTCTAATGCCTGTGTCAAAACCGGTTTGATTGCATGGCTAAAATAGCTTTCTCAGGAAATCCGAATTATAAAGAAGGCGAAACACATATGGTCGACATCAGATCACATTAAAGATAGATTAAGTAGACCTAAAATTTAGCCAGATTGCAAAAATATCCCACATCCAGACAAGTTAAAAATGGGTTATCTTCCCTTTAAATTTAGAACTATTAACTGACGTTGCGAACCAGTGAAACATTGGTTAAATAATATTAAGAGGAAAACATTTTTAAATTTGACTCACTGAACATCCGTGCGGTAATTTTACACCAAAGTGAAGCATTATATATTGTTGAGGCAATCGCAATGGTAATAACTAATTTCAAATACAATCTACAGTAATTTTTGATAAACCCCATCCGACCCCTTTTTAAATGTAACAAATCTTTTGAAGAATTTATGGCAATGTGGTAGTATTTCATGCGTAATTTCACATAATTTACTTGCTTCTGAAGGGGCACTGTTTTAAAATAATTTCACGGTGCATATCCATATCGGTACCCTCTTTGCGAAATCTGCTGAAACAGTACCCTCTTTGTACATGCACAGGTCATTCTCTGCTCAAAACAAACCAGCGATGGATAACAAGCCAGTAAAAATTCATTGTAATACGGAAAGGAGGTATGACACGTGGACAAGATGTATACCACGGAACACTAAAATGTTTTATCTATGTGCTGATTTGTCATGTGCCAATTTTTCATGCACTGCAACTACACAATAAGCTACAAAAATCAACATGTCTTGCTTCGCCCATCACCTCGACATACAGACGGGCAGAAATGAACCTGTGGCCTGATTATATATGCATCATACATATTTCATATGTTCATTTACATATCATCTTCGGACAAATAGCAGTATATTGTCAAAAATAATTGTAAAATTTATAAGAACATCCTACTTTCGGTTTTTCAGCGGCACGGGCTACCTTTCTTCATATGAATTTTTATATCACAGGTACCCTCTCATTTTTTAACACAAAGGTACTCTCAAGGCACAACATATGCTTTTATTTGCGTTAATCGTTAAGTATGTAATAATAACATAAAGTAAGAAATATTACATACCTTACGATTAACGCAAATAAAAGCATATGTCGTGCCTTGAGGGTACCTATGTGTAAAAAATGAGAGGGTACATGTGATATAAAAATAAAGGTGTTCAGGTAGTAATAATATGTTAGATTTTTTAATTATAAAATCTATATACAATTATAATTTTTTTTTTCATTTGTCCAGTAATTATCTTCATTGTCATCCGTTAACTTTCAATGAGAAAGTAAATGAGAATGATTCTACATTCTTACTAGAAGCTTTTTTGTCACACAAACACATGTCTCGTAAAACAATATATTGTACTGATCACTCCTGTGAGTTGTGGTCAAAATTGAGCCAACCTATGAAAGGCCGACAAGATTATCGGGTAAAAATGAATTTCGGTATCGCAAGCATAATAATGTTATCTTCAATCAAATAAAAAGTAAATTTATATCAAATAAACCTTAACACAAATCAGAATACTGATAATTTGAGTTTTAACGTCTAACAATGTCCATGCATTTATCACTCTCATTGTTTATGTCCATCTATAGAAGTTCGAGTCTGTTATTCGGTAATGGAAGGTGTATGCCATATGGTACCTCACATTGTTGTGCTATTGGAGGTAATGGAGCTCTAAAATGATAAAACAGTTATATCATGTCTAGAATTTAACAGTATATAATTATAAATGAATACACGACAGGTGATGCTTGGCCCGCAACAAGAATGATGGCATTATTTATTTCAGAGCCGATTATCACTTTCCGGCCTGTCTACGACATGTATGCATATTTTCAAATCACATGATAAGAAGCATTGTTTAATTACTTTGATATCACATTCATTTAAATTCCTGTCTATGTAGATTTCTACGGCACTGAAAAGTCAAGGAATAACAATATAAAGCGCAATTTGGACATTGCGTGTTTATTCACATCTTTGACTTAAAATGATATTGAAAGTGCGTTGTTTATAATTCTTTTATTTTGTAAATATTTAATTTATTCTTCCATGTCAAACACATGTATGTTTTATTTGGGATGGCTATAGTTTTTAAATTTCTACTTATCTTAATAATTAATGTTCTGTATTAGTTTGGCTTGATCGTAGTTGCGATTAGCTCGTTTTTATTGCATTGATATTATAGAAAAGAAACAAAAATGCCATTCGATTGATATATTTAAACGTATTTTTTGATATACTATATTTTACAACTTATGTGGTATAAGATTTTCAAATTTTGGTTATATAAGCTAAAATGATATTTTCAAAACAATCTCATTATTTATCTGAACGTAACTATATAATTAATGTTCTGTATTAAATTGGTTTGATCGTAGATTCGATTAGCTTATTTTATGGCATAAGATCTAATATTATGGAAAAGAAACAAAAATGCCATTCGAATTTTGGTTATATTTTCAAAATAATCTCATTACTTATTTGAATGTAATTTTTAAATAAAGATTCATGCCTCAAAATTCTAAAATCATCCTTACATTTAATTAATGTAATTTTTAATGAATAGCTCTGACCAATCAACTTAATTGAATTATTCTGCAAAATTATTATTTCAAAATTCATATAACTTATATTTCTATATGGCGAGATTTTCTCAACCTGTTTTGTTACCTCTGTAATATTGTGTTAACATATAATAAAGTAGATAGCATTTATGTAATGCAAATGTCCAGATAATATAGTTTAAATACCAAATACCTACATGTATAAGTGTTATATTTGTTTGTCAAAATGTTTTCACTTATTATATTTTTGTTTGTTTTTGTTTCGTTTATGTTAATCGCTCTTGCTCATTATCAAATATTTTGACTATTTCATAACCCATGATTTTAACCAGTGGCACTACATGTCAGATAACCAGACCAATTTCATATTGCAATTATGCTTCTTTTGTAAAAATCGTTAAAATAAATTTCATATGATCTGACATTCTTGATAACAAAACTGACATGTTTTCTGGTGTTCATTCAAGTATGGTATCAAACAAGGTATGTTTCCACATACCCCATTGTCAAATTAATTGTAAATGCTTTTTTATACTTTAAATGATACTTGCATAGGTTGGAAAAAAAAAAACTTTTTACAATTCCAGGTACAATCCAAAAGGAGCATGAAGGAGGTTCCAACAGATCATTAGAAGATTTCAAAAGATACTGAGTTTTTTTCCAATTTAAGCAATTTTACGATGCAAAACTCACAAAACTGAACAAGGTACTTTTTCCCAAAATGGCTTGAAAAGGCATATAACATTATGAATATTATGCCTTGATCTTGATCTTGATCTATTGCAGCCTTGGCTTTAAAATAAATCAGTCGAAATGTTTCGTAACTTTATATATTAAAGGTGTATCAATGTAGTTTTTCTCAAATATTAAAATCTTTCTTATTCTTAAGAATATTTGTTTCATAGTGTTAAAGTAAATTAATATTATTAAATACCTGTGTATTAAATATGGCGGTAGTACATTTCCGGGATTTTGCTCTCCTTGTTGATTACATTCTAAACAAATGATAAAAAATACACATCGAATTGCTATCATTCAACATTAACGAAAAAGTACGTTCAGAATATTGGATGAGTGACAGTTCATCAGAGAATCTATTGAACGAGCTTAATTGAATTATATTGTGCAAGCATCACTCGTGTATATTTTTTCACTTAGTTCAATAAAATCAGTAAAGAGCCCACAATATAATGATATTCTATTTATCACATAGCTAAAATTAAGACTATTTGAAATGAAAAACTATAATTGTTTTCATCGACGAGCATAAACTGCAACGTTTACTTTAAGGTAGAATGCACACTTTGCAAACTTTCGAGTAGCGTCTTAAAAAATAGAGTATACAAACTTAACCATATTTCAGATTAAATTCCGTTAATCTTACTCTTAATCTTACTCTTTCAGCCAATTTTTGTAGACATGACGTCATATTTGATAATCAAAGCTCGTTTTTTTAAAAGAAACATCGTCGCGTCGAATTATACGGTCTTGGAAGATTAATACAATATTACCTTCAGTTTTTCAAGTCAAGTCAAGTCAAGTCACATTTCGGTGAACATCCATCTATTAGGTCGGTAGAAAATGACATTTTTAGGTTTTAATTTGAACACCTTTGATAAACAGACTTACAAAAACTGCTTTAGGCAAAGTTTCTTAACAATCCATCAATTATTTCATTACAAAAAAGATGTTTAAAAGTGTTTTCCTTTTTTCAGTTTTGTTGAACAAACAATGGGCCAATTGAAAGACTATGAGCAAATTTAAGTATGACTCTCACAAGGAAACTACCAAATTTGAAGATAAGTTTGTCCGGCGCTTCAAGATAATATGAATGTTGACAAATGACGTACGCCGGAGCATCTTCGTTTGATACTTACAGCTTAACCTGAACTTTCAGTTTTGATGAGATGAGAAAAGAAAAGTGTGTAAAAAATACTATATTTTATCGAAATTCTAAGTTCAAGGGGAGATAACTTCTCGAGTTTTGATACTAAAAGCATAGGGTGTGTTGATGATACGGAACATATAATTCCCGTTTGAACTAGATACCTTAAGAAATGAAAAAGTTATAATAAAATATTTACTGCACCAAAACATTCATCAGAAAACTGGACGCCGGGAAGGACGCGGGGTGAAGTAGGACAGTTATACATATACGTCGTATAGTCGAGCTAAAAAAGAACATACCTGTATCTTGAACACCGTTACTGTTTTTACAATATTTGACAACAAAAATCAGCACTGCTATGAGAGCTAGTATTATCGCTATCACAATAACAACTATTTTCCATGTTGCAAAATCTTGTCCACCCTGTTTACTTTCATCTGTGTCTGTATCAAGATCCTCCTTACTGTCACCGTTACCATAGTTACCATTAGCTTTGAAACAAGAAAATAATTATTCAGATTTTCAATAAAAATATGTTAACAGGAATCTTTGACATTAAGTACTGTTTAATCTTAAATAGATCCTCCTATACAATCACGGAACAAAGGCCATATAATTCAAATATTGGTCGATATGTTACACAGCATGAGGGGGTTCCGTGCTGAACTTCAAGAATTACTTACAAGTATGATAGTTGTGACTATCAAAATACATGTCCGTTGTAATATGATGCAATATCTTACACATTAAAGAATCAATTGTATTGCTTGAAATGTCATTTTGAAAATTAACTTTCACTTCTTTATTTTTGAATAACCATATGAAAAATAGATCAGACTATATGTTTTTTGGGGTTTTTTATCAGCAAAAATATGTTAATTTATTGCATTATTGCTTTACCTTTAGCAAAGATTGTCTGATCTTATCAGAAACATAATTAAAATAATTGTTATTGCTAAACTTCAGCTTAAAGTCGGATATAAAGGGGTAGAAAAGTCCATGGTCTTGAAGTCATAGTAATATCCTAAGGGGTCGAGAAGTCAATTATTCTAAGCGTCCTACTTTCAACTGTAACAAGACCTCTATTCTTTGCTTCGAAAACAAAGTCGAGCTACAAACAAATGTTCACAATATCTTACCAATGCAGGTACTTGTCTCCCACAACCCCGTATCTAAACATTGGATCGTCGGTTTTGTAGTGTTGTATCCGTCTTCACAAACCACGTTTGCATGTGCTCCATAAGACAAGTCGTTCTCAACAGTTAATGAGGCATTGCCATTATCAATATCAATTACTGAAGCACAATCTGAATAAAACGATTACGTATATACTTGTACATATTATTTCTGTATCAAATGTGCAAATACGACGCTAAATTGTGATCGGAATGATATTGCTGGCATTATGCCAATTACTATATATTTAAATGTTTTGTAAAAATTCGACAAGGAAATTTATAATCAAATAGTGTTTATATAAATCTGACAAATTGATTTACGAAAATATAATCTGACTAGACGCAGAAGAGCCGAGTCTGATCCGTTATAGCAAAATGCATTTGAATTAAAAATTAGTAATATAAAGAAGTTATGTCAATGATTTTTTTTGTTTTGTAAATTAGAAGTACAATAAAGATATCACATCATTTAAATATGATGCTTTATCTTTTTTGTACTTTTTTGCATCTCCGAACCACTACTAATATCATATATTAAGCCAAATAAAATAATTGCATGTTGAATCCTAGTTTAGCCATTTAACACTTTTTTGGTCCAAAAGACAGTCTTGTCATTGTATCGTATTGTTGGCTAAATAAAATGAAATGGTGATTTTAATAGTAAACATGTTTTTTTTTACATAGATCAGAAATGACGAAGGTCTACACTACTGACTCCGAAATCACACTACAAGTTAACTTCCTTATTGATATATGCTTCTCCTAAAATTGATCAGGTATTCATAGGTTACAAAATAGCAAAACATACCAACACACAGAGTCTCCGGTACAGAAGAGCAGCTCAGACTATATTGAGTATTTACTGCTGAAGCTAGAATAAACAAAGATAAAAGAATCACACAGATATCTTTAATAAAATAAGGTAAGAGTTTATCAATTATATCTGTAGATTCAGAAACAGAGGAAATGAAAAAAAAATACTTTGATAAAATGAAATTATATATATATTTACCAGCAAATCCAAGAAAAAATAATCCTTCCTGGTTAGCATTGGAGTTGTCCAAAAAGTTAATAGTGATATAATGCATGTTTAAAGTGTGAGTGGTTATGTCAGATCCATAGTAACTCTCACATTCGATATCATGTAATGTCACGTTTAAATTGTCCTGTATTTCTAGTCTTTGTTCACAGGTTGATGTATCCAGATACAAATCAGCATCAATGATATATAAGTAAACACTAGATAAACAATCATGTACTTCTAGAGAGCAAGAACATGTTGATTCGCCTGTTGTCACACCTGGATAACCTTTATTTGTTAAAAAAAGTGGTGACCCATTTGACTGTAATGTGCCACTTGAACATACGGATAACTTCCTTTCAGCTGTAATCATAAAACTTTTAATGTTTGATATATTAAAATATATATGTTTTTATTTTGTTTAATCTAAGAATTGATTTGATTGACTATTTTACTTTTTAAAAATCAAGTTTTAATACATAATAATGTTGTTAGATGAAGTACTTAAAACTTTATTGAAAGATCCTTACAAGGAATACAATAATAGTAAATTGTAACATAGGAAGGTTCGTGCGCTCCTTGGGAACAAAGAGCCCGGACCCCTCCAAGGGCAATAGTGCAGGACGATTTTCCAGAACATTGACGCCGAACATCAATTCTATCCGACGTCGTCGCACTTTCTAAACAATGGTCCGTATTAAAGTCGCAACAAATCGAATCACAAGTCGCATCATATCCAAACAGGATAGAATCAATAGCTATCACTGAGCTTCCGCAGTCTATGTTAACATTGCCGGTTTCACAGTGTGTTTTATTTCTCCTTTCTTCTACTGATGACAGTTGTGCTGGAACAAATTATTATATTAATGCTATAGTCATCACATTGTTATCATGATTATTCATATTATTATTATCATGATTATTGTTTTAATTATTATTATTAATATTATTATTATTATTATTTATTTTTTCGTTAATTTATTTATTCATTTATTTATTTATATGTTTACTTATTTATTTATTTATCGTGTTCTTTTATCAATTTGATTTTTTAATTTTTTTTATCAATAGTTTCATTTAATAGTAGATACAGTTCGCACTTAATATGTTGTATAAATACATTTAAATCAAAAACATTCCTTTGTTAAAGATATAGTACACAAAAAGTTATTGATATTGATATACCGATAGTTCAAACTAATCTGTCTTAGTACATATTTTAAACAAAACTCTGTAATTACATGATAGCTGTAAACATCTTTTGTGGCACGATATTATTTAAAAATTATTTGAAATAGATACGTGTATGTATCAATGCTTTCCAAAATATCATTATTGTACACATCAAAGAATGTTACAATTTACGCAAATGTTACAAGATACAATTGTAAGTATGTGTAATAAATTAGCTAACTGTTGAAAGGGGGCAATTGATTTTCGAAAACATATTTTAAATTTTTGATAAATAAATAAATAAATAAATAAAATAAGATAAAATAATATAAAATAAATAAATGAAAAATTAATAAATAAACGCCGGCACATATATTAACATTCATTCGACATATATACGATAAAAATGAAATTTAATTACAGCAAAATGACATATTACTTCATGAATATAGATAAATGTATGTAACGTTTAACTGATTATGTTCTCAAATCATATACGTTTAGTTCTATTCTAACAAATTAACGGGAAAGATATAAATAAAATAATGTTTACTTAATTTTCTTCAATTATTAGTGAATGTAAATCGAAACATATGAATGTCGGTAAAGAACTGTAAACGACACATTTCAGCATAATTATTTTTTTTTTCGGTCTTATTTATTCTTACGGTTCAGTGTCATTTTGGAGACAGAATATCAACAGTTATTAGCTACCGATTAAATTGATATTGTTTATAAGAAAACATGTACTATATGATATAGTTTGACATTAGAATAACTCACCTGATATGCACTGTACCATGTATAAAACCATGAACGATTTATATGCAACTTTATTCATTCTACCGAAGCAGTATAAAACTTATTTTCACCCGGAAGAAATGTCGTCAAAATAATTTTGGTGTTAACAACCGCCAAGTTTATACACCGATACGCTCGTAAATCATTAAAAGTAAAGATTTTTTTTTGTTTATTCACTATTTATAAAATCAAACGTATTCTAAAACGTAGATCATGTTTCTAAACTTCCTAATCGATCTTTAAAATCAACGTAACAAGAGAGAAAAGTCAAAAACGGAAAAATTACCATATATGGATCATCAATTAATACGTACATGTTATATTTACTAAAATTATGTATTTTTCTTTTTTAATGCAATGATTTTGAATAAAGAAATAAATTTTTAAATTGGATAGAGATATTGATTTTATTTAAATCGGGGGAAAAGTTGGTTTAATTTACATTTTTATTCTGAATGAATAAAGTATATGATCGCATTAGTTGAAATACAGGGGAAACAAATAGGTTACTTTATAATCATGATTGATTTCCCTTTCTTCACATTCACTCTAAATTTGTCTGAGGAGTTGTTAGTGATTGAATGCATTATACATTTTATACACAGAAATAGAGGAATGTTATGTTATGATTAAATAAAATAATGATCTTATTAATTGTTACTGTCTTCGTGTAATGTTCTCACGAGTGTGCTTGTGTGCGTATGAGCGTATGTTCCTATCGTTATGGACACAAATGTGTGTTGTCAACCCTCGGTGCTAACACATTTTGCGCTGTGGACACCAGAACATAGTGTCTGAAAAGATAACACATCTAAAAAAGTAAAAAAGAGGTTATCTTCCCTTTAAATCAGGAACTGCTACCAGTGAAACACACACGTTGGTAATATTTTAATGATTAACAAGTTTTACACTTGACGCACTAAAATCCATGCATTACTTTGACACCAAAGTAAAGAAAAGGCAATTTCAACAGTTCTTACCAGTAACTGTTGATACTATTTTCTCGTTAATCGTTTGATAAACCCCATTTGACTCCTTATTCATTGTGTTGCTTTAATAATTTTTCATTGATGAATACTGTACCTGAATGTGTTTAACATTCTTTATAAATTTATAACTTTTGTAGTTTAATTTTTAGGTAATCTATTTAAGCAGTTTTTATAAACAGTTGTCCAACAAAGTTTTTAATGATATATAGTGACTTAATTAAAAAATCTTTGTAATAGAAACTTTCCTTTAAATGCCTGGGTATTGCTTTCAAAAGTGATCGTTACAGGAAAAAAGTGTCAAATTACAAACTAAAAGTGTGTGAATGTAATGTAATCTATAAATCATTTATTATCTTTATATTATAATATCGTCATGATTATTTTGTATATATATTATTCAATACGTATTTAGCTGTTAAATTGTGTCGTTGGAAGGTTATAATCCTTAAAGCTAGGTCTGCCAAAAAATTTCACACAAACACTAGGAAAACAAGCTGTGCTTTTAAAAAAAGTAAAGATATACAAGATAAAAATAATGATTCCCATGTTAAATGCGATCAATGACTGATTTTGCAGTATTTGTATTAACATATCTACTGCTTGAGTTGCGCAGTAAGGGCTATCTTTAAAAAAAATTAAAACCCTATATTATCGAGTTAAGAAATCTTAACCTTTAGAACCACTTGGGCCGCTTTAAGTAATATCTGCATTATAAGTGAATTCAATAAACCAATAAAATACACTAAATAAGGTTTAAACAGATTATCTGTGAACATATCTCCACGTTTACAAATTATAAATTAATAACCGTTCCTAAGTTTAACTTTCAGTTGATAATATGCCAAAAAGGCCAAATGCATTTTTTTAATTAACACTTTTCGAAAAATAAATAACTCGATATATTTTAAAAAGGGGAAATACACTCGTTCCCCTTTTTAAGACACTATTTTTACATTATTTTCAGCTAAAGTAATGGTATTGTTTTGTGAAAAGTAAAAGACAAACA